TTTGTTTGGTAATATTTATTGTAATTACTTTATGAGATACAGGTACTTGGATGCTTTTATTATTGAATTGTTCAATTAATAGGGTCATGTGAAGTTTCATCTGCATAGGTAAAATATTACAGTAATTAAAAATGTCTAATATGTTTTCTTTATATTGTTGTATTATTTTTTGGTGTACAATAAGTTTAAGTATCTTAGCTGTAGTTTATAAATTTTTCAGTATATGTCTTAAAGGTTCGTCCATAACTTGAGATTCCGTATGATATAATAGACTCAGCTAAGGCTTTATATATATATTCAGCAGGATCTTATATGGTACTTTAGGTATTAAGATATAGAATTTAGCCAGTATAGCTCGTAACTTACAGAGAGAATCTACGTGAAATCTCCAGATAAATCTATTGTCTATAATTATTAATAAGTAAGTGTGATGCGTTACTTGTTCTATTGCCTCACATTTATAAGCGTTAGATGAAGTTGATTTGTGCAGACATCTGTGATTAGATAGGTACCATCTGGATTCTGTATGGGAAACTGAAACGGGAGATGGACAGCAGTGTTTTCCTGTCAATGTATGTGTGAGGCGTACATTTAGCAAAGAACTTTTGAAAGACTTATTGAAATGACTACACAAATATTTCTTTGTAGTTTTTACCTATTATTATTTTACTTACTTGATAATGATTATCTGAGCCCTCTTCATTTTTATTATTGATGAAAGAACTATTTTATTTATTGATGAAAGTGAAATTAACTTATAAATTGTTTCAGAACCTCATGTCTTACTATTTAGAAGAAAGAAGACAACTCCACTAGAGAAAAAGTAAAATTTGCATGATACATTTATATGATGTGATTGTACAGTCCTGTCATGAAATTGGGTGTAGACTGTAGACCTTAAGACAGCCCATAGCAAACTTTAAATTCTTAAAAAGGTGTGGAAAACAGTGTTAACATTAAATTTTAAAAAGCAATTCATTCAAAATAATAAGTTTCTTTATATATCTGTATGCCTTGAGGCAAAAATTAAAAACAGTATAGTTTTTTTAAGTCAAATAATTTTCTAGTGTATTTTACCAAAAATTTGTTTGTTATGAGCTTTGCTATCTTCATTCCATATCTATTAAGTTGTCATAAGTTAGTCATTAATGTTTAAGTATCCTCTTTAGTGACTTTCATAACAAATTTGTGATTTAACATTAATAGTAGTAACAGTTTGACATCGTTTTTAAACACTGATGCCTTACAAAAAGTAATACATTAACATTAGGTACAGCTACTCCATTTCCCTTTTCCAATTTAAAGAGGAAAATTATGCTGGTTGTAAAATCACCTCTGTTTCATTGTGATAGCATGTCACAAATTAAGTAAATGTAATCATTTTTATTTTGGGAACATTTTAAATTTACTTATGCTAGAGTATATAATGACAAGGCATCGGTAATGCTGCATTTTAAAACTATTAGTTTTTTTAGGATTATCACAATTAGTTTCTTATGCAGCATAAGTATCCTGTATTTTATCATATACTTGTTGCTGACATATTATATTTCTTTACTTAAATTTTGTACTGTGTTAGTAATATTTTGTTTTGTTTTTTAAAATACAATAAGATACCAATGGTGTTCGGATATATATAATGGTGATAATAATCGTGTTAAACAGGTATTCTATCTGCTTTGTGTAAAATATATCATATGAATTTTACTTGTTAAGATGCACTGCCATAAATACTCCCCTTGTTGAAATAATTTCATTGTGCATGAATAATTTGATCATCTAGTTAAGGTATTTTCAATCACTATATAATTTCGGAGTGCTTAATTTCAAATTGTATATAATGTAAATTAAATCCATAATAATTAGCAGCAAATAATGTTGTGAATGTTAATGAATCAGTTCAGATAAATTATTTGGTGCTATGTTACGAAGTTTTTTTTCAACCCTATAAAAGTTGGCATCATCTGTTTTCTGTTTGTTAGCATTTTAATTTGATCCTCATGAAAAACGAATATTTTATAACAACATGACAAATCATCTATACAAATAAATGAAATTGAATTGCGTTTGTAAGTACAGCATTTTACTAAATGCATATAAAAGTATTTTAAGAAATTATGTCTGTTTGTCTCCAGCTAATCTCCAAAATGGCTGGACCGATTTTTCTAGATTCACAGACAGATTAGCTGATGTTATAAAAAGTAACTTGATTACTTTTATTTTAGAAAAATAGGGTATTCCGCGCAAAAAAAATTAAAACTCATTATCCAGTCGTTATAAATTCCACGCGGACGAAGTCGCGAGATCAGATAGTTTTAATTACAGGTTTTGGAGCGTTTTTAATGAGGAAATTTTAGAATGCTACATTTGCTTTGAAGTGGCAAGGAAAGTCATGTCGGTTTCATCAAATAAAAAAACTTAGTGATCAACCTTTGATTCACAGCGGCAGAGTTCATGAGGCTCTTGCATATCACCAGCAGCTACTCGGAAATAGACAAATGCTCCTCTCTTTCCCGGAAAAGCGCATCGGAATAAAGCCCACCTTACGCGATCCCCATTTCATTGTATGTTACAGATCGCGGAGCTTCCAATGAGTTTTTAAATTAAAGGAAAAAAACATGCCACCATGAGGCAATGTTTTTCACTTTTCGAATCCTTACAGCTTTCGTTTGGTAATTTAGGTAAGCTGCCTTGGCTGGTCATCTAACTGCCAATTTATATTCTATCTGCAAATTTCAACTGCATATGATACAACCCTGCATATGTGACTTTGTAAGTTGATTGGTGGCTTAAAAACCAATAAAAATATATACCGTAAAATGCCCTAACTTTGCACAGTTTTAGAGGTTTTTTTTAAAATTAGTTGCCACGCGTAGAAAGTGATATATCACACATTGATAAGAAGAACGTTACTATACGAAAAATGTCTTATTTAAATATGAGCGCCATCTTTTAGTTAACGTAGCAAACTATTTTATGCTGAAACACTTGTCACAATAACTAATAATGTTCATTATATAGCGTATCGAAATGATCCAAAACTGTGATTTGTTATGAGCAAGGCTAGCTTTGCAGTGGTAGTGGTACTGGATGGCGTTAAGGTTGGAATGAAGTCCCCTGATTTTGAAAAAAATTACGGCCAGAATGACAAGGAGCGCGGTAGTCTTTTTTGCTGAAAAATGGGGAATCGTGAGTGGTCGATTTCCGGTACCACTTGTCCAACCTCAAATAAATTATAAATCATCTACTTTTATATTCATTAATAAATCAGTAATCTGTTTTAGTAGACTGCAAAAAGAATTATGTCTCTGTCCGTCTGTCCGTCCTCGCTTAATCTCTGTGACCGTTAGCACTAGAAAGCTGAAATTTGGTACCCATATGTGTATCAATCACGCCGACAAAGTGGTAAAATAAAAATTGGAAAAAAAATGTTTTATTAGGGTAGCCCCCCTATATATAAAGTGGGAAGTGATTTTTTTTTTTAATTTCAACCCTAACATGTGATATATTGTTGGAAAGGTATTTAAAAATGAATAGGGGTTTACTAAAATCATTTTTTGATGTCAATAATTTCGGAAATAATCGCACTAAAAGTAAAAAACAATGTGTCCCCCCCTCTAACTTTTGAACCATAAGTTTAGAAAATATGAAAAAAATCTGAAAAGTAGAATTTTATAAGGACTTTCTGGGAAAATCATTTTGTACTTGGATGGAAACAACAGTACCCACTACCGGGAGCAGTTGCAGGAGCGCGAACATAATGGATACCCACCTTTAAACTCATAAGTGGGAACACTTATTGTGACAGACGGGAAACTATGGAACCCTACACTGCGCGTGGCCCGACACGCTCTTGGCCGGTTTATTTTTGTATTTTAGCAACTATAATTTATTGTTTTATTTATATTTTTATTAATTTATTGTTGATAAGTGTGTTTCATCAATTGCCTAAGGCCCTGTATGAATTATGCTCAAAGGCTGTGGCAGAATAGCAGGAGTAATGGGTTTCCCGTTACAAATGAGTCACAGACCTTTTTGTCACAACTAATTATTAAGCTGTCTATTTAAATCGTAACATTGTATTTTTATTGGCAAATAAATACTTTTTATTTATTTATTTATTTAAGTCAGCTATAATAAACTAAAAATAGTAAAATTATTTCATAATCTGAAGTTGGGACTATAATTTTTCTATATACTATTTCTTAGCACCAATAACAGTCACTAGATTGATTATTAGATTACAAAAGTATCAACACTACTAAGTACCTATTATTAGTTTATATCAATAGTATCCTGATCATATTGGGAAATGTAAAACATTCAGTTTGGTGTAAAAATAGATAACATTTGAAATAATAGGAGTCCTTTATTTTTTTAACATTTAAATTACATGAATGTTATGTAATTGAATAATGTACATTAAGACAAATAGCTATTATAAGAAATTCATTCTGAAAAACTAGGAATAAGTAATGCTTAGTACCAGTTACTCAAATCCATAGTTAGTAATTAATTTACATAGTGATGTATAACCTTTTAAACCTATATGCTCCATCCATTACAGCCTATAAAAGGCCACTGCTGAACATAGGCCTCCCCCATAGATTGCCTCATGAGGGGATTTTGCTATAGTTGTCATGCTTGACAAGCATAGTATTTTATTACTTTGAGTTGTTATCAGTAAGGTGGTACTGCCATTTTTTTCCTGTCGCCTCATATGACACCCTTGGGACGATATGAGGTAGTGGATATTCTAACACTGCCAATACACAGTTAATCTTTACAAAGAGGTATTACATTAATAAAGAAAATATAATTAGAAATTAGGTTATCACTACTACACTTTCTACAATAATTCATATCAATATTTATACATAATTACTACACACTCATATTTTAAGAAATCCTGCTGGGTGTTTTTCTGGTTCTACCTAGGACAGATATATTCTAAACCAGTAATAAAAAAATCTTTTCTATTCTTTGTAGGTTGTTAACACTTATTGCTTTCTTTTTTTTCTAGCACTAGGTGAAAGAGAGCACAATTTTGTACTATCAGGTTGTGAAAACTCCATCTGTTCTACTTTTATATCATCAGACACTGAATCCAGGAGATCCAGTCCCTGTAACTGTTCCTGCTCTAAGCTATGTAACATTTGGAAGCCAGGTTCAAGAGAAGGGGTAAAAGCACCATCCAGAGCTGCTGGGAAATGTAATTCTGGAACTTCTTCAAGTTTCAGTTGTGGAGCAATATCGCCTATAGCTAAAGCTTCACATTGGCTTCTTAAATCCTCACATTTTTTGTTGATCTTTGCATGGTATTTAATAACACGGTTTTCATAAAAGTCATGAAGGTTTCCAACATTGAGATCAGTCAACACCTTGGAAATGACATCTGGGAATCCTGATTTTATACCACTGGCTTCCCTGTCAACTATGTTCCTCATTAGTTTACACATATTAGTCAAATAAATGTCAAGAGCATCCGCGACTGCATTTAGAGCTGTATTTGTACAAGTAGCTATGCCAACATGGCCTAAGGCTATTGCAGCACATTGACGAAGTGCACGTTTATGGCTTTCAGATGTAAATGGTAGAATAACTGGACCTTTTCCAAGAGAAAAATCGCAATAAACTTTTTGCAGGAAGTTTATTGGCGGCGTAGATTCATGTTCTATTTTTAATTGTGGTTGTGGGGGAACTGTTGGTAAACTCATCGGGTCTAATCGAGCTCCTTCGAAAACCGCATTTTCAGTTTGTTCTAAAATAGCTGACAATTGTCTTGAGTATGCATGTAATTGAATAGTATGTGTAATCAAATTGGGCTTTGGAAGTTCTATAGGCGATGATTTTACAGTAATCGGTATTTCTGGTATATTTTGCATGCCCAGTTCTATGATAGGATTAAAATTTACAGTTTGATGTATAGTTTCATCGTTATCATCGTCTTCAAATTCTCCCCAAAGCTTTTTCGATGACATGATAAATAAATTACAGCTACAACATGTACTCCGTTAATACTAACCTACATTTAAGTAATTGTAAAGGTATAAATAAGTTATTTGTAAACTTGTTTACAATTTATACACATAAATATTCTGTATTGTGTTATCGCAAATCGCAGCTGTCATTGGGTGCGTTTGGCAGAAAAAAGCGCTAGCAAGCGCTTACTAGCGCTAAAATAGTTTTCGGCCAGGACACGATTGCTACTTCAGTAGCGCTGACACAATCCGCCATTTTGCTTATTTAATTTGTTTGTTTTGAAGTAGAGTTTATAAGTTGTTTTTTGCAATATTAGTTTTAAGTAATATAATGACATGAATAGACATATACATGTTATTAAAAATTCATGATTGGTAAGTTTTTAATATGAATACTTCACAAACATATATTCAAATTAGGTTAGGTTCCCCAGTTAAAACTAACATCGTGTCCTAGAGGAAAATAGCTATTTACGATTTGACAGCGCTTACCGCTTACGATCGCCATTTTGCTTACAAGCGCTTGCTAGCGCTTTTTTCTGCCAAACGCACCCATTCTGTTACAGTTTGTCACTGTCAGATGCAGCAGGTGTTGTTTTTGTTACGATATACAATGAAGCAGGCAGAGGCTTAAGACCACACAGCCTCATCTGATGTGTAATTTATTCATAAAATTCTTCATAACAATTTGCTGATGCGTTATATTGCAAAGATTTTTTGGAGATTTAAACGACAGCTTTATCTAGCGGACAGATAATGACGATGATTCCTCAGCCATCCAAGCGGCTTAAAAACGAGAAAGCCAGGTTCAAGACGTACTTTCTGTTCTTTCTTCCTCTGCATTTATAAACTCTTGCTATGTCTTTGTGCATTGTGTTATCCTTTTGAATACATCTCTTCGGCATAAGTTCTAGACATAAAACTGTTAAGTGCGGAATTTTTATTTTATTTGCAATCAGTGCGACGCTCACTCCATACGTACACAAAGCCACAATTTTGCTTCAAATTGTTTTTACGAATAAATTACATGCGCAGAGTTTAAATACACAAAACCTTTTTTTTTTACTTTTTTTACTTAGTACGTATTGTAAACGTCAGCTTCGCTTCGCCTAATATATTATATTATTTACAATCAGGTAATTTCCCCTTTTTAAATAAAATTATATATATATAAACGATCTTTCTCAAGGCTTAATAATAGGCCGTCTGTAATATTTTCGGCGTGATCGTCTTAGTTAGGACCCTTATTTACGTTGTGTTTGTTTAGTAACTTAGTTCTTTTAGCTGTCTTTTGGAAGAATGAATATTCACTAGAGCAATTGAAAGCTGTTGACAGTGCCTTATAAGCTAAGTGAACCTCGTTCACGAAGACAGGGCTCGAGAAAGGTTAAGAAGATAAAACGTCCCTATTCCACTTGTATCAGGTTCACATTATTAATTTATTATTATTTATCCCTCCCCGCTTGGAAAAGGCTCACAATATATTTATACAAAATACCCGATACAAGGGCTTCGCTCTCCTACATTTATTTAAAAAAAATGTAGGAGAGGCACACGGCTCCACACACGCCGTGCGCGGTGAGCTACTAGGTTAGCACTATTTTGATGCACTCCACCGAAGGAAACGCTAACTCGGGAACTGGATCATAATCCACAAAAAAATAACTGGCGAACCAGTAAAAGAGGGCTTGGCCCCTTGGTAGTACGTAAGCACAAACATTGACCGAAGTCGCGCATGTCTATGCGTCTAAACGCCATACAGAATACGAACGAATCCAGCCACAGTGAATGTAAGTCACACGGTTTAGGCAAATAGGCACACTGGACAATAACCCTCTGTGAGCGCCGCCACCTGCCAGACCGCCGCTACCGCTGCAGACGTGATGAAAGTGTATGGCACCACCATCAACTGCATGCTCAGCAGGGCTACTAGCCGCGGAGCGTGTCATGAGTCTACCGCTCACCTCAAGGGAATGGGGTCCTACGTTGCGCGGCATTCGGCCGCAGCCTTGAGAGTCTCCTCAGATCCTCCCTCCAGCTACCACCCACATGAGGTCGACACATATGCTTCACCAACCAATACAACGGCAGATATAGCCAAAAGGTAGTTATAAAATGTTAGTAATAATTTGCCATCAGAAAGGGTTTGTGTAACTGACTTTGAGTATAATATGCATTTTAGATCATGTTTTTCTCATCCACCAACAAGTTGCCTTCAATCATTCAAAGGCGGGAAAGTTACAGAGATTATAATATTATGTTGTTATATAAAACATCATGGAGGTCAGACAGTCTGCAGCTCCGTAATGAAGAAACCCGACTTGGGCAAAGCTACTTAGGTGTGAGTCAAACCAAGACGCAGAGAGCGCCATTGAGTATAGCGTCCCACCAAACAACCATTGCAGAGACGCAATGCTGCAGAACGTAACAAACATCAATATGACTATCGTCGGGCTTAAACCATCGCAAGGTCCCTCATACATCCCAGCGGACATCACCACCCGCATACTTCCATCGACCAGAACTAGAAGAGTGCGTCGAATCAGGCGCAGCACACCCGCAGATCCATCACAAGACGCAATACCGCAAGAAGCAGTAAGCATCAATGCAAAATCATACGGATGGCGCTCCCTCACAACACACCCACATGATCCCTATAGACTTTGGTAACAAAATTTGTATTGTTGTTAACTAAAAAAATAACACCCACGTATTATAGTAGCACGCTACTTAGACGCTAGTGAACAAAACTCCACGACCACAAGACATGAAGTTGAGTATGCCTGTTACACATAAAAGTGCTACCAAATCCGAAAGGTAGACGACGCATCGCTATGCGCTACGACGCCGCTCACAAACGGTATGGGTGTGCGATGTCCACGGGAAAGGCGTATTGCTACAACAAACCCGCTTACCACCGGCACTAAGATGATATGTATAGGACACATCGGTTAGCGAGTCCAAGTTTACCTCCGGCCAATTGCTCGTGAAGCAGCACGCATACACGCCACCATAATAATCCTTTTCAAGTTCCTTATATAGGACTAGTCATTTTGCTACAGTACTAAGAGCAGTCGGTCACCCGACCACCCCATATAATGCTTATAAATCAAGGAGACCTACTATAATAATGCTTTTGTATCATAGACTTTATTATTATATGTCTTTAATATATAGGACTTCAACCCACAACTCTACTATTGTAATGCTAATTCATCATAGAGACCTTGTATAGTATTGCTTTTGTATCATAGACCTCACTATCATCATCATCATCATCATCATTACAGCCCTTCACAAGTCCACTGCTGAACATAGGCCTCCCCCAAGTAATGCCACAAAGCACGGTCTTGAGCCACCTGCATCCATCGACTTCCTGCATGTCTTACCAGGTCGTCACTCCATCTAGTGGGGGGTCGCCCTACACTACGCCTACCGGTACGAGGCTGCCACTCGAGAACCTTTCTTCCCCATCGGTTATCGGTTCTTCGAGCTATATGGCCGGCCCATTGCCACTTCAGCTTACTAATCCGTTGGGCTATGTCGGTCACTCTGGTTTTACTGCGGATATCCTCATTTCTGAGTCTATCACGCAGAGAAACTCCGAGCATAGCCCTCTCCATACCTCGCTGAGCGACCTTGAGCGTCCTCATACGGCCAGCAGTGAAGGACCACGTCTCTGATCCGTAAGTCATCACTGGCAACACGCACAGGTTGTACACTTTAGTTTTCAGAGATTGAGGTATACCTGACGAGAAGATGTGTCGTAATTTCCCGAACGCTGCCCAGCCGAGTTTAATCCTCGATTGACCTCTGGGTCGAAGTTGGACTTACCTAGTCGGACTATTTGTCCCAGGTAAACGTACTCGTCAACAACTTCGAGCATAGATCTCCCAACAACTACCGGCATAGGTGAGACATGGACATTAAACATGATCTTTGTTTTGTCCATGTTCATCTTAAGACCTATCCGTTGAGAGACACCATTGAGGTCATTGAGCATAGTGCTAAGGTCCTCCAGCGACTCTGCCATAAGGACTATATCGTCGTCAAATCGAAAGTGAGTGATGTACTCGCCCTTGATGTTAATACCGTATCCTTTCCAGTCCAGACAAGATGTATGGGAGAATTCCATGCAATGAAAGATTCCTGAATTACATAATCTAATAGAAGTTTATCGACCTGCTTGTTTATCTCTGTTACTTGTGCAGAGGCGTGTCTGTAAGGTTTTGTGAATATAGGGTCCTCGTTTTTAGTCCGAATGAAGTGTTTAACCTGGTTACTAACACTCAAAGGTATCTGTTCACAATAAAATATATTCTTGTATTCCTCACATAGTTTACGAATGCTATGTCTTTCCTCTTCATTCATACGGTTTAGTCTTAACTTGTTTAAATTTTCAAGCAATAACTGGTCCATTTCTAGATCAGAGCGCTTCTGGAAGAAAGAGTTCATCATAAAGAGTCCCTCTTTCTCCATAAAGTCAGCCAGCTGCTGGCCCCTACGTTTCCGTTGTCCTATTCCAAATTTCCCTAACTTCAGCTCACCGCCTTCTCTTGTGCCAAGTTTTGCGTTGAAGTCTCCCAACAACACCGTGTAGTGTGTCACTATCATAAGTCATTAATATATAGGACTTCAACCCACAACCCTACTATTGTAATGCAAATTCATCATAGAGGCGTTCTATAGTATTGCTTTTGTATCATAGACCTTACTATTATATGTCTTTTATAATGGGTTTTCCAACAAGAACTTTGTTTTCTAAAACAAAATAAAACAAAGAGTTTAGATGAATAACAGTATTCAAATTTTTATTGTATTACGAAGAGAAAAGTTTGGCAATTATGAATGAAAAATGATATCTGGCAAATGTCCACCACGACCACGCTGACAGACTGATATCTATTCTTTCATCAAAGTTTTTAATCACTTTTTGGCAAAATGGCGGGTCTATTTCGTTAATCACGTCACGGATTTTGAGTTTTAAGGCCGCGATCGAT